GACTTAAGACAAAAGCCAGAGTCGATTCACTGAAGCAATCCAAAGTTATAAGGATTTTAATTTAAATTTTTAGGTTAGATTTGGCCATAGAATTCGAAAATTCTCAGGAAAAAAGCAACAAAAACATTTCTGCGCTCTAGTTCTGAATAAATGATAACATTCTGCACAATCCTTATTACTCAAACTATATGAGAAGAGCATAATCATCAAAATCAGTCCTTTAACTTTTTGCTACTAAGAGACGAAGCCTTTACGGGTTAACCTTGAAAACACCTACTTCGACCTTCCAAAGAATACGAGAAGGAGGGGGGTTGAAAATCTTAATGGCATGTATGAGCGAGTGAAGACTTGTTTGAAAGGCTCTTTGAGACGAGAAGAACGCGAGGTCATTGAGGTTTCTACGATTTCTTTCGCAGAATTATGCACATTTGAACATTAGTAATTTTTAGCACTAACGAGGTCTACGGCAAGGAGGTGAGAAAGATAAGGCTTCGCGCATGTTCCTGAGTAGATGGAAATGTATATAGAAAAACGCATGCGTGAGGAACTTGCGCAAAGCCTTATCTTCTTCACGTCCTCGCCGTGGGCCTCGCTAGTACTATAAAACGGTAATATTCAAATGAGCATAATTCCACGGAAAAAAATCCTAGAGCCCTCAACGACCTCGTGTTTTTCTCGTCTCGAAAAATCCTTTCAAACGAGCCCTCACTCGACCCTACATGCTATTTAAGATTTTTAACCCCTTTCCCCACCGCCCTCCTCGGTAGGTTGAAGTGAGTATTTTCAAGGTTAAATGATAGATTACATTTTGCCATTGCAACCCTACAAAGGTTTTAGCAGGATAAGAGAGATAAAACGGCCCTCAAACAAAATTGAATGGAGGCAAATTTATCAATTTTGAGGTGATAAAGAAAAATTTTTTACCAAGTTTCAACTGCCTAACGCCATTATTCAATCTGTAATCGCAAAAAATGCATTTTTCGTTTTTATTTCAGTTTTCCGCACATTTTCATGCAATATCTGCATACAAAAATTCATGAATGTAAACGAAGTCAACCTACATCTACTGATTTTTTCTCGACCCACCGTAATGATATATATACCATTTAGAAAAATTATTTAAAAATTCAATAATTTTTTTTTGAGTTAAAAAAATAAAGCCCTCTGGAAAAAATTTGAGATGTGTGTTTTAACAACCTACATATTATCAATTTTTTCAGATTTAAAAAAATATTGCCATTGTTAAAAAAAATAAAAATCCCATATTTACTCTACTTTTTGGAATTCGCAAGCATCCCGCACCATAAAGGCCTCTGAAAAAATTTGTAAATATGTATATTTGGACAACCTATGTAATTTTTTTGTAGATTTTCAAAAAATATGCGTCATTGTTAAAAAAATAAAAATTACTATAATAAAATAAAAAATTCATTTTTACTCTATTTTTTAAGCTTGCAAGCATTCTCGCACTATACATATAATAATGTTTTTATAGGTTCAATCGACTTTTTATTTAAAATATTTATCTTTAATATTTATTAATATTAATATAAATCTTTATTTAAGAAATCCTTTGTTAAAGTTTGAGTTTTAAAGAATTTTACTTACTGTGTTTGTTTTTCAAAGAACTTTACTTTGCGCTGGAAAAGTAATTTTAAGAATTGATCATTTATTTTCGACGTTCCATACACTGACAGAACGATGTTGTTAAATATTATATTTAGAAATTTAGCTGAATATAGATCGAAAAATAATTTTGTTGGATTATATTAAATTAATTTATGTATGCTCAAACTAATTACTAGAATGTCCAAACTTTTTGCAGTATTGCTCATCGTATTTTAATTTCCTACGTAATTATTTTGATGTGATCCAACAAAATTATTTTTTCAGATCTGTATCTATCAAAATTTTTAGATAAATTAATTTCCGGCCAGACTCCTCGTAATTTTAATTAAGACTTTAAGTTCTAAAATTTAAGCACTTACATATTAGCGTTAAATTATAAATGAAACTTTTATATTATAAAAG